TGCTTTCTAGAATTCAGGATTTTTATTTTTTGGGGGGTGGGGGGAGACAGGTTCTTGCTTTGTTACCCAGGCTGGAGTGCAGTGGTGTGAGCATAGTTTCACACCACTGGGCTCAAGCAGTCCTCCTGCCTCAGTCTCACACATAGGTGGGACTACAGGAAGGCATCACCATGACCAGCTATTTAATTTTTTTTGTAGAAACAGGGTCTCATTATCTCTCTGTGTTGTCCAGGCTGGTGTTGACCCCTGGACTCAAGTGATCCTCCCACCTCAACCTCCCAAAGTGCTTGGATTACAGGCATGAGCTACTAAGCCCAGCCCAGGATAAGATCTTTTTTTAACATATTAGAACAATAGATCTTTGGAAATAGAATTTAAAGAGGTAAGAGCTGCAGTCATGCCAGAAATAGGAGGGCAGAAGCCATCCTAAGACAGTATTACAGGGAAATCAGGCTTACTGTTTTAAAATGCATTTAGAGACTGTGATGATCAGGTAAAAGGTGGGAATTCTTTGGGGATCTACATTTTAAGCAATAGGTAGGACATAAGGTTTTATGAGGTGGTCTGCGCTTAACGCTCTGGAAGTGGTAGGCTTTGCTCACTGCTTCTGTTAATTCTTGCAACATCCACTTGCCCTTCTGCTGCCCCTGCTGAATTGCTGGGTTGGCTCTTCTGAAAAATACAGTGACTCGAATTCTTTTATTAGGTTTCATATTGTTTGATTGCTATAATAGGTGTCATTTTTTTCTTTCTCAGTTCTTTTGGTTTCCATGACTGTGTGCTCTTCTGATTCTACTTATTTAATTCCTCTTTCACCTTTTTTTCCTTCCCCACCTACTCTTAAATAACAATGACCTTTCGCAAGGTTTTATCTTTGGAATTTTTTTTCTTATGTGTTTTCTAGTCTCTTGATTTCTGCAATTATCTCTAAAATGATCACTCTCAACTTCCTGTCTCAGTTGTGGCATTTTCTCTAAGCTTCAAGCCTGTATTTTCAGCTGTTTGCAGATGGCTCGGCTTAGTGCCTCAGACTTACCATTATCTGTCACATCATTCATCACAAGCTCTGCACCCGCTATTTCTCCTTCTGTTAATGGACCTCTCTGTCACCCAGGCTCAGAGTCTCAGTGCTGTATTGGATTCCTCCTCATTTGCTTCCTACCGCCAGTCACAAGTGAAGCTCTATCAGTTTTACCTCTAATAGATCTCGAATGTTTGCATCCTCTCCTTCCAAATCCCCCTTCACTATCCAAGTTTAGGTCTTTATATTACATCTCACTGAAAATATTGCAGGGATCTCCCAACTTGTGCTGCTTCTCACTCCTTCTTCACTTTCCATGTTGTTGCCAGCTTAAATTATCTTAAGAGGTAATTTTGCATGTATTGTCAGTGACACTTTACCTGTCTGTCAGAGTAAGGACAAATTTCTCTAATTTTAAAGATAATATAGCTTTGCCTTTGTCTGTCCATTTCTTTTACCGTTTATACATTTATTAAACACCTACCCTATGCCAGGTACTGTGTTAGGTGCTTGGAATACAAAACATTAAATAAAACAGGTTCTTTGCTATACTCAGAAAATAGTCTGTCTAGAGATGGATGAGCATGAAAACAGTTATTCAAGTGAAGTCTGAGAAGTGCTGTATTATAATTGAAAAGACATATTGGATTATTTCATACTGTATACATGTATTATAACATCACAGGTAATGCCATAATTGCATACAGTTATAATTTTTCAAAAGAATTTAAAAATACAAGTGACTATGTCAAAAAAAAAAGTATATTGTCCTAACCTAGAAAGACTACACCAATGTTTTGAGAGGAGAAAATTGTCAGCAGACTTCACAGAAGAAACGATATTTGAGCAGAGTCTTGATGGACAAATAGAAGATTGCCAAGTGGAAATTGGGAAGCGTCATACTGTGAAGTACATATTTGGTCTTTGATGCCGTTTCCTGGCATACAACTCTTAAAATCCTTGAAACCTCTGTAGTGATGTCTTTTTGTATGCTAATGAGTTAACTGGTAGATGCCCCACTCACCCCGGCCAGGTAGCTTTAGGATGGGGACTGGTCAGCAGAAAGACCAAGGCAGGATTAGAGTCAGAACTTTAAGTTCTCCCCATCCCCCAACATTTAGGGACGGGAGAAGGGCAGAAGGTTTAGTTGATCACCAGTGATCACTGGTTTAATTAGTCATGCCTACAGTGCTGAACATGTGCAGGTTCTGGAGGGCATAGAGGTTCTTTGCCCTGTACATCTCTTTATCTGTATCCTTTGTAACATCCTCTGTAATACACCTGTAAACATAAGTGTTTCCTTGAGTTTTGTCAACTGCTCTAGCAAATTAATAGAACCGACAAAGGGGTTGTAGGTACCTGGATTCATGGCTGGTTGGTCAGAAGCACACGTAGAATAACCTGGGCTTGCCATTGGCATTGGAAGTGGGGGCTGTCTTGAGGCTTGAGCCCCCAACCTGTGGGATCTGATGCTGTCTCCAGGTGGGTAGTGTCAGAATTGAATTGGAGGTTCCAGCTAGTGTGTGATGCAGAATTAATTGCCTGCTTGTTTGTTGGTGGGGAGAAACCTCCACACATTTGTTAAGAAAAGTCTTCCCTGTTGATTGTTTTGGTCAGAAGGGAGAGGAAAAACAGTTTGAGTGTTTTCCATACTCATAGAAGGCAAGGGAATGAATCTCATGCCCACATCCCAGTGTGGGGTGGAGGCAGAGCTTGAAAGTGTAAAGAATGTACAGAAGAGAGAATAATTTTTGTATGGCTTGAATTTAGAATATGAGTGAGAGTGTGAGGGACAAGGCTGGAAGGAACCTTATAGAACTTTGAATGCCGTGGCAAGGAGTCTAGACTTTTATTTTGTGAAAAATGGGCAATCACTGAAGAATTTTAACATTTAAAGATATTTTGGATTATAATTTATTTTCTTTAAGATATGTTGTGAGGTATTTTATTAGTACACAGGCAGATATTTTATATGTCAAGATACAGCAGGTCAGAAAAAGATTTTCAATGTAAAACAACATCTCCTTTGTCATCAAATTTAATACATCCTTCCAGTTGCACTTCATTGTACCAGTTACTCTCTGCCTCAGACTTCCTCCTGCCTTGGCTTCATCCCTTCACTCTTCTGGTTTTCCTCCTACTCTTAATTACTCTTCTCTTTTCACCATAACATGCTCCCTATGTGATTTCACCTACTCCTAAGGCATTATAATTTTTTGTTAAACTTAATCTGATGGTTCTATTAGTCTGTTTTCATACTGCTCATAAAGATGTACGAAAAACTGGGTAATTTGAAAAGGAAAGAGGTTTAATGGACTCACACTTCCAAGTGGCTAGATGGTTGTATTAATTTGTTTTCATACTGCTGATAAAGATATACGAAAAACTGGGTAATTTGTAAAGGAAAGAGGTTTAATGGACTCATAGTTTCACATGGCTAGTCTTAAGTGGTGGCAGGCGAAGACAGAATGAGAGCCAAGGGAAAGGGGAAGGCTCTTAGAAAATCATCAGATCTCATGAGACTTATTCACAACCAAGAGAAAAGTATGGGGGAAACTGCCCCCGTGATTCAATTATCTCCCTCTGGGTTCTTCCCACAACCTGTGGAAATTAGGGGATCTATAATTTGAGATGAGATTTGGGTGGGGACACAGCCAAACCATATCATTGCTGATATGAATGGTAGTTTGAAAGGAGGAAAAACCAAAACTAGAGAAACAAGTTAGGATATTCTTAACTGTTTCAAGCAAGAAATAATGAGGCTGTCAGCTAAGATAGGGATCAACTTATCTGGTTAAGCACTGGTTGTTTAGAAAATGTTTAATTTGCTTCTTCTATTCCCCTGTGTTATTTACTCTTCAGCTAGTGATTTGAAATTGTCCTGCATTTTCTCTCCTCTCTTCTCTTGGCATATTTTTGGCTCTTTCTCTCTCTTGTGGAGTGTCTGTGAACTTTAAAAAGCTCAGCTCAAATGCCAATTCATCCCTAAAGTTCTTTCTAATCTATATTGCTTTGACTCTAAGTTTATGTCTTTTACTAGTCTAAAGCCCCAAGAGCACTTATTATTTTTATTTTTATTGTGTAGGATATTACTTTTTCACCATAACATGCTCCCTATGTGATTTTAGGATATTACTTTTTTGGTCCCTATTAAACCATGTGGCAGCAAGTCACAAAAGAGGAATCAGAAAATAACATGGCCCCTATCCTTGGTGTATAGTCCAGTTAGCAAGGTATGTATATACTTAAT